TACTGGACCTAACCATTCTTTTGTCAAAGAATACTTCTTTCTGGATTGGTTCTTCATAATTAGGCCAATCTTCTCTTTATTGACATCTTTCAACTAATCTTGGTTCCATGTCATCGTGCTTTATCATCTCATTAGCAACAGTATATGCAAATATATCATCAATAAGTATGTATGATCTGTCTATTGACTCATGTGCACTCACATAACCCATTTGAGATTTCTTTGTTCTTTGGAACCAGTATTAACTTCAGAGTATCCTCTAGTATTTATTCATGGATATGGCAATAATTAGAGACATAAGAGGTTTATGTATTGCTGATAAATAGTTGTGCCTTACTCTTTGCTGATAAATAGTTGTCTTACTCTTCTCTTCCTTTAGATGTGTCTATCAGACCAAGTATTTTCCCCCATTTCCGTTTAGGAGCTACATCATCAACCACACATCCACAATGTGTCATTGCAACACACTCTCCAGTGGTGTTCTTCCCCTATTTGGGTATTTTTAACCTTTCGAGTACATTTGTAGCTAGTATGTGTGATATTGTCACTTTTAGAGTAACATTAAACATATCAAGTATCAACCTTGATTCGTTTTACCTCAAATTTACATTGTGAAGTTACGAGATCATAATTAGATAATATGGGAAAATTCAATGACAATTCTTATCCTTCCCTTTGGAAAACCATTTTTCCTATCCCTCTATGTGATGGTAACTTGTCTCACCACATTGACAATCCACAAATTTTACAATAAAAAAAATCATCCGTCAGGGGTTCTAATTAGCAGATAATTGTTAGGGTTCATATCCAACATATAGATAATCGTTTTTGACGATCCATTTTGTCGCATGGTGGGGTCACAATTGACACATATTCTGCACAACCAAATTATGCTTAAATATAAAATATCAACCTTAATCCAGTTATTAGCTGGTGGGCATGACAATAATTGACTAGTAGCGAGTTTAAAAATGAACCATGTAATACTGCAAGATAATGATATAGGTAAATTGGTTCGTATAATCAATGCTCTAGCTCTCATCTATGGCCTTTTGATGACAACTTCTACAAAACCATTCTTATGTATACACATAGGAGTATACGATGTTCTAGGTCGATCCCAATACATATACAATTATATCAAATCCTTATGATATAGAGACTTGGAGCCTAGGTGGAAAGAGGAGAGTTTGAACTTTTGGTGAAATTAGGAGTGGAGACATTGGAGAGGTAGCTAGAGTTTTTAAGGTTATGGAGTGTCTTATTAATTCTTACTTTATATGTCTAGCCACCTATTTATGTGACATTTTTCAACCCGGCCACTAACTAGTCTTAGGTTTTCATTTATCTATTGTTATTTCTTTGTTTATTATTTACGTGTTTTTCAAGCCATATATATATATATATCGTGAGACCAATAGTTTTTCGTAAGACACGTATGACCAATTCTCATCCCTTGGATTAGATCTATAATCATCAAATCTGAACATTCATAAACGCCACGAGACTTCTCAATAATTACAAAATTGTCACCGTGCAACTTTAGACCATTAGATCATATACTTATAAAATTGATCAATGAACATAAATTGGTCTTACGGGTCTCACATGAATCCAACTATATATATATATATATATATATATATATAATTTTGTATTTTTACCACTTAATTAAAATTATTCAACTATAATAGGCATGCCATAGGTACTAAAAATCAATGTTACATATATACGTTTTCTTAGTTTAATGGTCATGATAAGGTGGTCGGTATACATATACAATTGAAAGGGGTTGAAGTATAAATTAAAATGCTTCTAGAAAAAGAATAGTATGCAAGGGTGGAATATGTAAATTAAAATTGTTTTAAAATGCTCTTTGTATTTCAACATGTAATCTCTTTTTTGTTTTGTTTTTTTTATTAACCTGATATCCAACCCGTTATGCGAGCCAATTAATCTCAGGACAATTATCCCGAATCACCGCATTTGAACCTCCATGGCTACAAAGAGATTTTGATTCATAATTAGACTTGAACCTGAGACCTCACGACACTTTTAATCTTTAGAACACAAACTCAAATCAATCGACCACCACCTTTGTGGTTCAATATATTTTTGTGGTATGAAGAGAACACAGATTTTTTAAACATTTTTGTATGAACTAATTTTTACTCGATAAGAAAATGTGATTTTTGATTTTGTATTTATTTTAATAAGAAATAATACATACTTATTCAATAACGAAAAACATTTATAGAATATATATCAATTTAAATATTACATGTTTAAATAAACTAAGGGGTCGTTTACCAAACACTATTCCGGTAATTGTTTACTGATAAAATTTAAAACTATTATTTACTTACCATGTAAGATTTTAGTCCCCCAATGACATCGTATGCACACTCAACAAAATTGGATTTATAGGACACCCCAATCTCTAAGCGTACCAATAGACCGTTTTATAGGACTTCATTTATATAACCAACATATAAACCGTCATATCTAAAGGTGTTATAGTAAGTTTATATGACGCTTTTGGGCGTCTTAACAAGTTTTTAGGACATATTTAATGCAAAGTGTCGCATTAACAACTTTATAGGACGTTTTTGAGAAAGTGTCATATAAACTCAATTTTTTATAGGACACTTGTTTTTATAGGACATTTTCAAATAGTGTCCTAAAAGTTGCCAATGGGACGCTTTATATTAAAAGTGTCCTAAAAAACTTATTACAACGTCAAAAAACGTCATATAAACTTATTACAACGCCCTTAAATAGGACACTTTATTTTTTTGATCCTATAAACTAGGTCTATTAGGACACTCAGAAATTGAGAGTGTCCTATAAACCCGATTCTGTTGTAGTGGCAACAATTTACCCGATAAGTGCTTACCGTGGAAAGAGTCGTCTCCCCCACTTACCAGGTAAGACTCTTGGTCCTTGTCTCGCTCTTAAAAAGTAAGATTCTTGATCTTTACTATATTCATGCAATGAGATAATGTTACATGGTAAGTGTTTACCCGGATAAGCATTTAATAAACGGCTCTAACCTCGTTAATTTTTATGATAAGAGGGTATTGAATCTTACTAATATTAAATGAGAAAAGGATATTATTATTTAATATTAATGAACAGATGGCTGATAGTGCAATCAAATACATTATTCTGACTTTCTCAGGAACATTAGACGATAAACCCAAACAACTACATGTATAGTCATAAGATTAATTTAAAAAGTGTGTTAAATAAATATATGAGAAATAAAGAAGTGATTTTAGTATTTATATTAACAAATTAATGATTAAGATTTGAGGGATTAATTATGTATTTTTGGATAATTTGGTTGTATGATGACAACTATACGGAACATAAACGAATTGTTTTGTAATTTTTATAAATAGGCGGGGCAAACAAATTAAAATATGTGCATATGTGAATTCGTGAGATTCACATATGAACTATATGTACATATGTGAACCCGTGTGATTCACATATGAACTATGTGTTCATATCTGAAATCGTATGATTCACATATGAACTATTTAATCGATTCATATGTGAACTCGTGTGATTTATATATGAACTATTTAAAATATTCACATTTGAATCTGAATGATTGACATATGAACTATTTAATTGATTCACATATTAATCTTAGATTCACATAGAACATTATAGTTTTTGGATCAAAATCAACATTTTGCTCAAGATTGCTTTCTATATTCGGATTCATATTGAAAGATACGAGATTTGATAAAGATAGAATTAAAATTTTTGATAATCTTGTTAACCTAGAATTGCGATATATGATCAAGAAGAATCGAGGAAAAAATCGATGATAGAATTGTCCTCAAACCGGATTAGATTAGCTAGTTAGAAGCGTTAATGGGATTGAGATCATATATCGCCAACCAGACTTCCATTGTTGTGATCTACGATGACGATGTATTGATCATATATTGCCACCGGTTTTGCTAATTAGCATATTACCCTAATCAACGGGCAAGGATCATTCTCTATTTCTCATACATTTAAACATTCTCATTTGAACCTCTCTCTCTCTCTCTTTCTCTCTCTCTCTCTCTCTATATATATATATATATATTATGTAGGAGGTTTAAGGAAATACTTCAAATAAATGGAAAACTAAAAAACACCTTATCAACCGTCATATTAGATGATCTAATGGATGTGATTAACAAGATGGTCACAAAACTTTTTTATTAAAAAATCTCACCCCTCCCTCTTATTTTTAATTAGGAAAAAGACGAAAAATAAATAAAAATTCGAGCAAAATAAATTACACAAAAAAAAACGATCATATTTATCTCGTTAATTGGCCTGTCACTAATTAGCGACGGATAGGCCAAAAACTGTATTGTGTGTGTGTGTGTATATATATATATATATATTCGAAGGATTTGTGAGAAAGAAAGTTATGGTGAAAAGCGTAAAAATAAATCTAAATCATTGATCATTTTTAATCTCATGTTCACTCGTTAATTGATCTTTAGATTCAAATTGATCTGATGCATCTCAATGCACCTCATTAATGTTGAAATTCAATTATGATTAATCTTAGAATGAAAATCTCTTCTTATAGTTCTCACCATAATTACTTATAACAAAATCCCAACCCTATAACCACAAGGGTGGTGTCTGATTGGTTTGAGCTTAACTTCATAGGTCAAAAGTACCAGGAGATCCCAAAGTTTAAATCGAAGGAGAAATAAAAATCCCTTTGTTGCCACGGAGGTTCAAATGCGTTGACTCCGGGCTATGTGCAAAACAGGTGGTCGTCCTGAAATTAGTCGGCTCGTATAACGGGTTGGATATCCATGTTAATAGAAAAATACGTACCTATATATATATATATATACCTATATATGTATATATATAATTTTCATCTTAATTGAATTATCACGAATTGGTCAAAGTCGATGGCTTTTTTTCCAACTCCACTGGCCTATAAATACCACAAAGTTTACTCATATATCACACCAACATAATCATCTTCTCTCTTACATATCTTCTTTTGTGATTAATACATCATGACTTCCGTTAGTATCGACATCGAGGTTCCATCTTCATTTTCTGCCGAAAAAGTTTTCAAGGTGTTTAGTGATTTTGATAATATTGCACCTAAAGTGAATCCCGAACTTTTCAAGTCCATCGACATAATCGAAGGCAACGGAGGTGTTGGAACCATTAAGATCTTCACATTCGGTGATGGTAAGAAATCGTAACATTACATACTCGTTTTCATCATTATTCAAATAACTATACGTACGTTTATCTAAACATATATAACTATTTACTGCAGCGGTTCCATTTACAAGCGGAAAATATAAGGTGGATGCTATTGATGCAAGCAACTTTTGCTATACCTACTCGTTCTTCGAAGGTGACAACTTGATGGGCATATTAGACTCCATCACAAATCATGTTAAAATCATACCTTCTGCCGACGGAGGAAGCATATTCAAACAAACAGTCATTTACAACTGTAAAGGTGCCGAGAAGCCATCTGAAGAGGTTCTTAAAATCGAAAAAGAAACATATGAGAAAACGTTCAAGGCCATCGAGGCTTATGGTGTTGCTCATTCTGAAAATTATTGATTTTTCTCCGTCAACATTTTCTATCGTGGGCGATTTCAAATCCTTTCGGTATCGTGTTTGCTGTTTCTCGATTTAGTGTGGTTTGGAATAAAGATCAAGATTCCAGTTATGTAATTTTTGTACTACCTTTGATTTCGTTGCATTTGTTACTATAAGAAATGATGAGTGAATATGGAATAATTTTCTTTAATTTTTTTTTTGTCAATTTGTTTTATACATATTTACATTTTTAAAGTAGTCTGCAAGCGGTGACTCCGGGCTATCTACAAAACTTGTAGTTGCCCTTGGATTAGTCGGCTTGCATAGCGGATTGAATCCAGGTTAATAAAAAAAAAATCACTGGTAGGATGTTTTTTTATTGATTTCAAATCCGATTTTAAATCAATTCCATTATCAATTTTTCTCTTGATTCTTCTCGATCATATAACCAATAAGTCATTTACTAAACTTAGGGGCCGTTTACTAAACGCTTACCCGGTAAACACTTACCGGGTGATTTGCCTTACCGGATGAATATGACAAGGGTCAAAAATCTTACCCAGTAAGAACAATGATAAAGATGAAGAGTTTTACTCGAGTAACGACTCTTATCCGGATAAGCGCTTACCGGGTAAATTGTTTTGTTATCAATTATTCTCTTAGCCAATAAGTCATTCGCTAAACTTAATTGAAGTCAAAAGTTGACTTTCATATTATGAACGTAGCAAAAAGATGATAGATTTCAATAATATAACTATCATATTCAGGTTGTTGTGGAAAATGACATGGTGGTATAGTAGTTGACTTTAAACTTAAACAAGTATTTTCCATAGATGAATGGGAGAAAACGTAAACCATATAATAAACAACCAAAAAAACCAACTTAGCCAAAGAAAATATCAGAAAATTCACATAAATATTCATTTTATAAAATGAATTAATTTTTAATCATTTTAGAAATCATTTTTTTAGCTAAAGTTTACAAAAAAGCTTTACATAAAGTTTATTTTCAGGTAAAAAAAGGAGTTAAACAATGAATTTTGTAAAAAAAGGGATTTTACACAAAAAGTTTTATGCAGAAAATCTTAAAGCATTTTTTTGCGTAAATTCTCCTTTTTTACGTAAAGTTTTTTTTTAAAATTATTTTTCCTCATAATAAATTTTGTGTGGAAAATTCTTTGTCTATGTAAAGGTCTTTTTTTTCTTTTTTTAAATTTTGGCTATTTCAAGAAAGGGCTTTGTAAAGTGGCTAAAATGTGAAAGTCATTTTATAAAATGGCTATTTGCATAAATTTCCTGTAAGGGACTGTTTACCAAACATTTATCCGGTAAGCGTTTATCACTTACTTATCGGATAAGATTTTAGTTCATCAAAACGATATCGTGTGCAACAATTTACTCGGTAAGTACTAACTGTGGTAAAAGTCATTGTTCGTCTCAAACGGATCTACAAGAGTTTGGAAGGTAACAGTTTGTAGAAGGGAGTTGAATACAAAACACACGAAATCTTAAATTTCCTTTATTGATAAAAGAAGATCAATACAAAATTTACAAATTGTTGCGGAAATAGAAAAGGTAAAGACCTAATCTAAACAATCTAAGAAACACACAGTTCAGTTAAGTACAAATAAGATTAAAAACAAGAAAGAATATAGTAAGGAGAAGAAGGCGTTGCCGATAAGAGAGAACTTCTCAACTATTTATACTCATTGCACTTAATGCAAGTCAGATGGTACAAGCCATGTGACAAACTTCTAGTGGAGAACTTGTCCTTTGTCTTTAGACATGAAGGCTTTTAGTTTCATATGAACAGTTGACTTTTACAAGGTTGGTAAGCACGTTTGGAGAAAATAAAGCAACTCCGTATGTATCCCTTTTTGTGAGGGCTATGAGATTGTCCTTTTGTGCATTAGGAATAAGACAAAAACTAATCTTGTAGAGCAAGATTCATTTGATCGCTGACATTAATTTATCTCGAAAGGTTCTTTAGCAATCGCTGAGTGTGGGTCAGATTTAACACTTTGATTTAGACATTCTGTTATCACCGTATCCACTTCAGATAATAAACTGTCATGTCTCTTTCTTCAGCTACTTCTTTGACATCGCTGAAGGTTTCTTTGATATAAGTTTTTTCTTTGGGGAATACTTTTTTCTTCGAAACGTTTATAGTGTATGTTCAGCAATCACTGAACAGACTTAGAGATGTTTGTTGAAACTGAACAAAATTTACAACAAGTATTTTTCACTAAGTATGTAGGATCATCATTAAATACCTGAGATAGTTTGGATCAACAATCTTCCCCTATTTGATGATGACGAAGCAACATAAAAAAATTGCTATGTATTACAGTGAAGGAATGAGACTTGAAAGGTACATGTCCCATTTACTGTTTTGTGGGATATTTTTCAATGTCAAGGAGCATTAAGCTGAAATTCATTTATTTGTAAAAGATTACAAGTGAGAAAATAAAATTTCATAAAAAAGAAATACATCACTAAAAGCATATTAGCTGATAAATGTAAAGGAAGATATTTTATCACTAATTAATAATTTAAACGAGAAATGGAACTCGTATATTCATGTCCCATTTACTGTTTTTAGGGATATTTTTTCAGCAAGGATAAGGTAAAGTATTTTTGAAATTTCATTGATAATTGAAACTGAAGATTACAATGTAAATAAAATTACAAGTTGTCTAAGTACTAAGTGCTAAAAGTCTATATACTGAGAAAAGGAAAAAAGAAATACTATCAGCTAGATCATTAAAAGAAATGTAGAAGGGGACTTGTTCTCCTTGAGTCTTTCTTTTCAGCATCTCCTTTCTGATCTCTCTGTCTATCATCTCTCCAAAAATGTCATCGTTGATCGAGGAACGAAGATAGTCGAGGTGTTCAGCTGGGGGAAGAGGGAGTTGAGATACTCTCTGAAACCTATGGTCACCATCATAGTCTAAAAAGATAAGACCATATTCAGGTTTGGTGTGCACTGAGTTGGGAGCATAAGGATCTTTCTCAGGCAGTGTCAGGTTGAGCATTGATAGGTCAGGTCTCTTCATATGCTCCAAAAGGGCATCTATTGAGAACTTAGTTTGATGTTCATATTTGTGAGAAAGCCCTTCTTCGATATATGAGATGATGGTTCTTCTTTTCCTTGAGACTTTTTGAGGTAAAGGAGGGATTTCATTTACCTTTGATATTATGTCGAATAGTTGGTTCAGTGCATGCTCGATCACCTCCTTGTATCTTGACTTTGATCTCTGAATGGCATGCCTAATCTCAAGCCATTCATAGAATCCATACTAATAAAGGAAGGTAGGATAGTAAGTGTCTACATGCTTATTCTCTCTGAATATCACCATTGAGACTAGCAGTTGACCATCCTTGGTGCGTCCATAGATAATCACATTGGTTATTTTGTCTTCGTTCAGTCGTCCATTGATCTTTTCCCTACACCACCTTAGTTCTTCATTCATTAGTGCCAACTCCTTTTCATGTTCTTTTTCAGCTTCTCTGAATAGAAGAATTGAGCACCAATGGAATTATATTTCTCAAACCTTCCTTAAGAGTGAGCTTCTTTTGCAAGAGCATTCGGCAACTCCAAGCTATCCTTCATTTGCTGTTTATGCTTTTCAAGCTCTTCCTCAGCTCCCAATGCTTCTTCCTTCTCAGCATCAGTGAGAAAATAAAACTCACCACCTTCAGATATATGAAGAGGGATTTTACTTTGAACTGGTCGAGTGGATTTATCAGTTGTATCATCCTTCTAGTTTCTTCAACCCTTGAACACACAGGGAGTCTTGAGGATCTTTTGGTGTTGAGGTAGGCATCGCCGTCTTCAGCATCAGACTCAGGTATGTACAAGAGAATGTCTTTAGCTTCTGAAGGTTTATTCCTTTTGATTGGGGAATCAAGCATGGCAGAGGATGACCTGGAATCATTTGAAGGTGAAATGATTGAGAAAAGGATGTATGAAGAGAGGGTTATAGGTGTTGAGAGTTCAGGTTCAATGATCTGAGAAGTGTAGAGGATCATAGGAAGACTTACCTCAGAAAATTTGAGCTCCCCCTCAGAGTTATGGATAATTGTTAGGTTATCTTCAACAAGTCCTTTGCCTTGAGAATTCTGGTTCTCTGATGAAAGGGCCATCTCCCTTTGAGGACCCGATTCCTTGATCTGGACTCCCCTGGATAATGCCATGGGATTTGGTTTGATGAAGAATTCATCTTCATTATCATCATCAACATCGCCTAGGTCAATTCCAGGGTCTGGAAGATCCAGCTCTAAAAGATCATCTTCATTATCATCCTCTTCCATCTCCCCCTCAGGTATAGAAAGATCAGCTTTAGCGGGGGAAGAGGATGGCATATCCTTAGCAGCTTCAGCTGTATCAATCTTAGCACTGCTCTTAACGAGGAGCTCATCAGCTTCTGAGACTAGCTTCTCGGACTCAGCTTTAGTAGCAGTCTTCTCCCCCTCTTTGTCATTCTCGTTTGGAGAAGGAAGGTGAGTGATAACCTCATCGAACCTGGACTCGAGTTTGGTCAGTGACTCTTGTTGTGAAGCATGATTTTCCACTAGCGATTGGAGAGTTGAGCAATATATAGATGGGAAGGATGGAGTAGCAATTGGAACTAGTTTCTGAAGCTCTTGAAGAGTTTGTGTCAATAACACTCCATGCTCAACAAGCTGAGTGTTAACCTCTTCAGATGTCGGCGAAGGCACTCTGAAGGCCCTTGATGTTGGAGGAGTTTTCAGAGACCTCCACCTTCAACTTGAGCACATCTTCCTTTAAGGAGGATGTGTGCCGATAGATGCTGGCACCATACTGATGAAGGTTGTCACCCTTCTTCTTCACATCTTGGACATCTTCCAATACCATGACTAGGATTGGTAAACTAAATTGCAGCTTTGTGTTCGTGGAAGGAGGCTACTTTTTAGGTACCTTCTCTACTTAGGTAGAGACTGCCTTCCTATCAGCGCCTAGGATAGGACCTGAGATAAAATGAACAAGTAGTTGAGCTAAGGAATGCTCCGGTTTAGTAAAAAAAGATGTAGGGAAGGATGTGGTACCTAAGGCATCTTTAGTAGCATCCGACTGATTGCCACCAAGGCGTGACTTGCCCCGTCTCTATCTTGAGAATCAGAGACTAGTTTCTGAGGAAGCTTATGAGATGTAACCTCGGGTCCTATGGTGCTTACGCCAGTCCA